GGATGGCTTTGTGCATGGGAGATCATGCCTCACAAATCTGTTACAGTTCTTTGATGAAGTGGCCAGGAAAGTTGATGAGGGCAGGGCAGTAGACGTAATCTATATGGATTTCAGTAAGGCCTTTGATAAAGTTCCACACAGTAAGCTGAACTGGAAGGTTAGGAAGGTTAGATCACATGGAATCCAGGGAGAGCTGGCAAATTGGATACACAATCGGCTTGATAGTAGGAAGCAGAAAGCAATAGTGGAAGGATGCTTGTCAGACTGGAGGCCTATGACTAATGGTGTGCCTCAGGGGTCAATGCTGGGCCCATTGCTGTTTGTTATCTATATCAACATCAATGATTTGGATCAGAATGTATGTATAAGGCATGATTACTAAGTTTGCAGACCACACTAAAATAGGCGGTATCGTGGACAGTGAGGAAGGTTCAGAAATTGCAGCAGGATCTTGATCAGCTGGGGAAGTGGGCTGAGAAGTGACAAATGGAGTTTAATATAGATAAGTGTGAGGTGTTGCATTTTGGAAAGTCAAATCAAAGTAGGAGTTTTGTGGTGAATGGTAGGGCCTTTGGGAGCGTAGTGGGACAGAGGGACCTTCGAGTTCAGGTGCACAGTTTTCTGAAAGTGGAATCACAGGTAGACAGGGCAGTGAAGAAGGTTTTTAGTACACTGTCCTTCAGTCAGGGCATTAAGTATAGAAGTTGGGAAGTTATGATGCAGCTGTACAGGACATTGGTGAGGCCGCACTTGGAGTATTGTGTTCAGTTTTGGTCACTTTGCTACAGGAAGGATGTTATTAAACTAGAAAAAGTGCAGAAGAAATTTATAAGCATGTTGCCAGGACTCAAGGGACTGAGTTATAGGGAGAGTTGAACAAGCCAGGACTTGTTTCTTTAGAGCGTAGGAGATTGAGGGGCGAATGTTATAGAAGTATCTAAGATCATGAGAGGCATGGATAGGGTGAACACACTCAGTCTTTTTCCCAGGGTTGGGGAATCGAGGGCAGCAGTTTAAGGTAAGAGGGGAAAGAATACATGGGAGCCTGAGGGGCAACTTTTTTTTGTTTTTAAAAAAACACAGAGGGTGGTACGCATATGGAATAAGCTGCCAGGGGAAGTGGTTGAAGCGGGTACATTAACAACATCTAAAAGGCATTTGGATGAATACATGGATAGGAAAGGTCTAGAAGGATATGGGCCAAGTGCAGGGAAATGGGGTTAGAATGGATGGACATTTTAGTCAGCATGGGCCAGTTTGGGCTGAAGGGCCTGTCTCTGTGGCGTAGGACTCTGACTCTACTGCATCATTGATGACAGTCTAAACACAAGATTATAAAAGGAGATTACGGATTAGGCAGGCTATTTAACTTCCCACATCTCCCGATTTCTGCCAATATTCACTGAGGGCTCATTTTTGGGTCAAGCACCAGGGTCAACTTCCCTGCTCTTCTCGTGGGAACTTCATGGTGTACCCGGAGAGGTAGGCTGGGCCTCAGTTTAAAATTGCATCTGAGGCACGATAACTGACAGTGAATCACTTCCTCTGTGCTGCACTACAGCTCCACCCAAGGGTTTAAACAAGTCTCTGAAATGAGACCTGAACCCACCGACTCATTCCAAAGGGAGGGCAAGCCACTGGAAACTTTAACTCTCCCTTCTCTCTTTCGATTCTGCCAGACCTCCATTTTCTGCCTGTGGACAGATGACTGGGTTGCCAAATTCTGAACAAACACCATCTACAAGTTTGCTGACAACACCACTGTAGTAGGACAGATATCTAACAACGAGTCAAAATACAGAAGGGAGGTAGAGGGCTTGGTGATGTGGTGCAATGAAAACAATCTGTCTCTCAATGTCAGCAAAATTAAAGAACTGATCATTGACTTCAGAAAGAAAGGAGGAGGACATGCTCCCATCTACATTGATGGAACTGAGGATGAGGGGGTCAAGTTCCTCAGAGTGACAATAACCAGCAATCTGTCCTGGACTTCCCACATAGCTGTCAAGGCGGCACAACAATGTCTCTTCCTCGGGCAGGTCAGAAAATTTGGCATGTCCGTAAGGACCCTCACCAACTTCTACAGATGCATAATTGAAAGCATACTGTCTGGGTGCATAACGGCCTGGTACAGCAACTGCTCTGCCCAGGACCATAAGAGACTACAGAAGGTGGTCTGGGCTGTGCACACCATCACAGAAGCCAACTTTCCATCCATGGACTCCATTTACATGCTCGCTGCTGCAGAAATGCCACCGTCAAAGAGCCATCACACTCCAGTAATGATCTCCTGCAACCTCTTCCATCAGGCAGAAAATACAGAAGCCTGAACAGATGCACCAGCAGGTTCAGGAACAGCTTCTTTCTGGCTGTTTTTAGACTGATAATTAGACTTTCTAGCCTCAAATAACACTGATCTTGCTAATGTTGATCTTGACTAGCACACGCGCTGTGCAATGTAACCTGTATCCTCCAAGTCTTTTTGATCTAAACATCCTTGCTTACTATGATCTGCCTGTAAACAAAGCTTTTCACTGTACTTCAGCACGTGACAATAAATCAATTTCTATTTTTGTTTCAGATTTTAAGCATCTGCAGTTTTTTGGTTGTTTTTAGTGTCTTCAACCCACAAACTGACTCAGTGGTGAGACAATACTAACAACACAGCCATGTGTGACTACAAAGCTACAAAAAGAGCTGGTTTTGACAACTGGCATGCGTTCAATTTTAAATCAGTCTACCATTGCTCTCAAGGAGGGGATAGATATAGTTCAAGGGATCAAAGGGAATGAGGTGAAACCAGGAACAGGGTGTTGAATTAGATGATCAGCCATGATTATGTTGAATGGCAAATGAAATAACTGCACAGAGGCGGGCGGTTATCCCCCGTCACCCTTTATTTACACATGCACAGTATATGGTCTCTGACCAGCTAGCTCAGAGCCAGTCCCTGGAGAAGACTTTCTGACACTCCTATTTCTGTCAGCCAGGACTCCCTGATTGGCCCAGGTTAACAGCCTCAATTAGGGATCACATACTCAACAAGATCCACCTGGCCAGACTCATTCCAATCACCACAGCACAGCAGGCTTGAAGGGCCAAATAGCCTACTCCTGCTTCTATTTTAGGTGTTTCTATTGGTGACCGTGTCTTCAAGTGCCTGGGTTATAACCTGTGGACACCATCTCCTCTCTAAATTCAACAAATAAATATGAGAAAGGAGAAATCATCGTTGTTAAATATCAAACCACCACCAGATCAACCTATCACTCATTAAATAATTAATAAATTACAAGCACGAGCTCCCGGAATATTGCAACATCACAAACAGGCGAGGGTAGGAGGGAACTAAATTAAAATGGAGTTGAAGGAGAAAAATCAGACATTCCTCATCCTTTAGACAATGCCTTAAATCCAGGTTCACCAGTCACAAAATATCCTGATGTGGTTTGGAATCAAGCTTTGTTTGATAACCTTCCTGTGTAGGAATTTCGTCTGGTGCCCATTCTGAACTGTCACCTGTTTGGCCATTTCAGAGGGAGGTTAAGAGTCAACCACATGGTTGAGAGTCTGGAGTCACAGGAAGATCTTAACAGGTAATGACAGCAGACTCTCTTCCCTGGAAAATAAAACATTAATGAACCTGACAGGTTTTCACAATATTTGGTGGTATCATGGCTGACACCACACCGATTAGCTTTCAATTCCTGATTTATTGCTAAAGGGTTTAACCCTCACCAGCTGCTGTGGTGGGATTTGAACCCAGGTACCCAGGGCATTAGTCTGGGCCTTGGGATGATATTACCACTGCCTCCCCTACAAACATGGAAACTGTATCTGAATTAGTTGAAGGAAACAAGATTTCATTGGCCTGTATGTCAAGGACCCAGAAGACATCATACTCCATAAAAACCAAAAGAACTGCAAATGCTGGAAGTCAGGGTAGGCAATGGCCTAGTGGGATTATCACTAGACTGTTAATCCAGAGACTCGGGTAATAGTCTGCGGACCTGGGTTCAAATCCCACCATGGCAGATGGTGGAATTTGAATTCAATAATAATCTGGAATTAAGAGTCGAATGATGACCATGAATCCATTGTCGACTGTCAGGAGGAAAAAAAAAACATCTGGTTCACTAATGTCCTTTAGGGAAGAAAATCTGCCATCCTTACCTGGTCTGGCCTACATGTGACTCCAGAGCCACAGCAATGTGGTTTGACTCTTAATTGCCCTCTGGGTAATAAATGCTGGTCCAGCCTGTGATGCCCACATCCCATCATGGAATAAAAAAAAAACAAAAACAGAAATTGCTCGAAAAGCTTAGCAGGACTGTCAGAGTCTGTAGAGAGAAGTCAGCGTTAACATTGAGTCCAGTGACCCTTCCTCAGAACTGATGGTGGCTAGAAAAAAGTTGTTTTTTTTTAAATGCAGAAGTTATGGTGGGGGACAATTGGGGTAAGGAGTAAACGATAGGTGAAGAGCCCAAAAGGAGAGAGGAACAGTTGGACAGACAAAGGAGTGGATAACGATCAGACTGGGAGAACGAATAGCCACTAATGGGGACAATGGGTTGTGTGTAATAGCAGACCATGTGATAACAAGGCCTGGTGTGTGGGGTTTAGTGTAATGATGTGCCTCAAGCCCTAAAATTGTTGGATTCAATATTGAGCCAAGACGACTGTAGAGTTGCACTCTAAATGGCTTCAGCTAATGTACTGACTGAGGAGGGGAGACACAATATTACAGGTACATCAGACTGTACACTAAGGTAATGAGAGAGGAGGAGAATGTATTTGTAGGACCTAATAAAGCAGGGCAACGGAAACCTTTCAATTAATGGATGAGGAATTGGGACAAGCCATCAAACTACTGCACAGGTAAAGCAATGTGAAAAAAATGCTCATTGCAACTGTAAAGGAGGGCATAGCATCACAGTGTAAAAGGCATCATTAAACAATTCCATATATCACAAATAAAAGTTGTAGCAATATATACTTACATTCAAGTCTCGGAAATACTCATTGTAATCCAGGGCATATCCCACCACAAATTTATCTGGGATTTCAAATCCTATAACTGCAAAAACAAGGCATCGAATGTTAACACCGTAACCGTTGGTAGCTGTCACATCCCAAGATGGGGATTTGTTCAGTCCCTTTGATTGCACCCTTACAGAATGTTTCCTGTCTTCCAATTACAGCCACTAACTGTTTGGTAGGCCGATTCAACGTTTTGACATGAACGGCCCTCTATAGAATCAAAGACTAGGAGGAGGCCATTCAGCTGATGAAGCCTTGTGCGACTTTGAAAGAATTCATTTAATCCCATTTCTCATAGCCCTGCTATGTCCCGTTTCCTTTTAAATGTCACTATTGAATCGGCTTTTGCCATTCTTTCAGATACTTTAATCCTGAACATAACTTGCTTAAAACAAATGTTCTTAACTTCCCTTTGAGGCAACCATAGTTTTAGAGGCAGTGAAGTTACAATTGTGGAGGATCCTTCCAATTTCCTGATTGCGGGGAAAGATTTCCCCACCTGGTTCATAAAATCCATATGTCACCTCTCCTTCTCCACGTTCCGTAGTTCAGTAAAACGAGGAGTGAAGCAAAAACAACTTGCATTTATAAAGCACCTTTGACAGAACTTCACAAAATGCTGCAACTAATCCAGTACTAGGAAATAAATGCTGGCCCAGCCAATGACACCTGCCTCCAGTGAACAAATGAAACAAAACCTCATTGCAGCATTATCAAACAATAATTAACATCTGATTCAACAAAACGGACATTACAAAAGATGACCAAGTGTTTGGTCAAGAGGGCTTTTAAGGGGTAACTTAAGGCTGGAAAAGAATTGGAGAGTTTTCGGAAAGACATTCCAAGGATTAAAGTCTGGATTACTGAATTACTCACCATTAGTAAGCATTATGTGCGTTTTGTAACCTAAACCAAATAGTCATGTTTGATTATTTTGGGATAATCCCACATCCTGATTAAAGCTGAAGTGATAAACAGATGGTTTGAATCCAGTATTATTGTTTAAAATGTCAACTCTACATCTCAACTTTTCCTATGGTTCCTGACCAGCCTCCAATAAACACGTGTTCACCAAGGACTAAAACACCAACATCCTAACACACAAAGACCGCTTCAACCATGACCACTGTTCTCTGACCAATACTGGCTCCTGGTCTAGCAATGACTACTTTCTAAGGTTTTGGAGTAGATTTGTAGCTCGGGTTGTGGGTGTTGAGGTTGTTGAGGTTGGTTGGCTCGCCGAGCTGGTTTCTTGTTTCGCAGACGTTTCGTTACCATGCTGGTTAACATCCTCAGTGCAGCCTCCGATGAAGCGTCGGTATGATTTCCCGCCTGGTTTTTAAATGACTACTTTCAAATTCACTTCCCAGATTTCAAATTCCACCCTTGCCTTATCCCTTCTCACTGCTGTTACATCCTCCAATTGCACAACCTGCTGATCTCAGTCCTCCTCCAACGCTGTCCTCTTGCACATTTACAGGAAGATGGTAGCATAGTGGTAATGTCAATGGACTAATACTCCAGAAACACGGGAGTAATACTCTGGAACACCAGTTCAAATCGCACTATAGCGACTGGTGGAATTATTATCGTTCGATTGATAAATCTGAAAATAGAAAGTTCGCTTCAGCAATTGTGACTTTGAAGGTATCATCTATTGTAAGTTAAAAACCCATCGGGTTCACAAAATGTCCTTTTGGAAAGGATGTTTAGTGTCTTTACCCAGTCTGGCCTACATGCAATTCCAATTCCATACTAGTGAGGTTGACTCTTAACCCTCCTATGAAATTGCCTAGCAAACGACTCAGTTTGAGGTTAATTCAACGTCAATGATGTGCCCATATTCTAGGAAAGAATCATTTTTTTAAAAAAATTCCAATTTCAATTGCTCAACCATTGGTAGCCATGGCCAAGGACCCAAGCTCTGAAGTTCTGTCCCTATGCCCCTCTACTTTCTTCCTCCTTTAAGAGGCGCCTTAAAACCTAACTTATTCTTAAAGCCTTGATCATCTACCCGAATACTGCCTTGCATGCTTCAGAGTCAATGTCCATTTGAGAGTCCTGCTGTTCAGTATACGTTTTACCACACTGAAAAGGTTCAAGAAAATGCAAAACATTGTTGTTAGTTGTGCTCAAGACTGAGCACAAAAAATGAGAAGCTATCGGAATTTCTCAGATTATAGTTGGGAGACCTTTGCCCCAAAACTTCCCTCTCCACAAAAAAAAAAAAAAACGCCTTTGATATTGCAACAGCAGACTATTTTAGTGCCTCTAGACACTGGGTGTAACTGCAAACTCCCAGTCATGAGATTAAGCCCAGCACTAATCTTCTTTCTTGGATGTTAGTCAAGTAAATGGAGTGCAGTACTTACAATCTGGTCTATATCCTGAACTCCTAGGGGTCCTTTTCAACAACAAGCTGCAAGTAGATTCAAAAAAAGAGAAAGAAAGTCATTTAACATGGCCCCATTCAGCTGCACCTTCGAAAGCCCTGACCCTTACTACCTAAATGATCTCGGGCAGCACACACATTGGAACACCGTCTACCGTGAGGTCCCCTCCAAGCCATGCATTATCCCAATTTGGAACTTAAATCGCTGTCCCTTTACAGTCACTGGGTCAAAATCTGCGAACTCCATTACTAACAGCACTGGGGTTTGGAGACACCCCAAGGACAGTAGTGGCTTAAGGCCATGGCTCACAACCACATTTACTGGGGTAATTGGGGATGGGCAATAAATGCTGGCCTAGTCAGTAACCCCAGCATCCCATGAATGAAAGCAAACAAAAACCACAAGTCTACATAGTAACTTTGTGAACCAGTGCAGTGAAAAACTAGTAATCTACCATGAAGGGGGATGGACACAGTGCAGAATATTCAAGGTCACTACATTAAACTTAAATGGAATGGACAATCAATCACAGTGGACTCTTTGATTCAACAATACATCACAACTAGTCAGTTTAACTCATGCAGTTACACGCACTAATGAATGTTAATTAACGCTCTACCTCAGAGATACAAGAACGTGCCTTAAACAGAGAGTGCCACACTGTCAGGTGTCGTCATTGCTTATGATAAAATTGAGATAACAAGGGAAACGAAAACCCTCATTTCTGATGAGCTTTTCATGAGCTCAGGGTATCTCAGCGTGTAATACAACATAGAATTTTCTCAATGGCTCTAGTGTAGGAAATACAGGAACAAGGATCCACATGGTTGTCCATTTAGGACTGAGCCGAGGAGAAATGCCTTCACCCAGAGAGTGGTAAGCCTGTGGAATTCTCTGCCACAGAAAGCGGTTGAGGGAGAAAGTGGGAACAGGGCACCGAGCTGAATAATCAACCGAGATCATATTGAATGGTGGAGCAGGCCCAAAGGTGCCTGTTTTCTAGGTTTCTACATAAATGCAACAGTCAGTTTGTTCACAGCAAAATCCCACAACCAGATCATCTGTTTTAGAAGTTTTTAAATCAAGCTGTAGGGACACTAGCACTGCACCACACACTCCTGATAATCTGTTTTATAATGCTGTTGATTGAAGGACAAATAATGACCAGGGCACTGGGGTGCGCTCCTTCGCTCCTCTTCAAAATAGAGCTATACGGTATTTTAGATCCACCCCAGAGTACAGTAGAATCTCACTATACAGTACTCCCTCACTGCTGCACTAGAGAGTGATAAAGACCATCATACCACACAGAAATAAGCCCTTCGGTCCAACTCGTCTGTGCCAACCAGACATCCCAATCTGAATTAGTCCCATTTGCCAGCATTTAGCCCATCTCTCTCCAAACCCTTCTGTTCATCTACCCTTCCAGATGCCTTTTAAATGTTGTATTTGTACCCGCCTCCACCACTTCCTCTGGCAGTTCGATTCATGAACTCATCATCCTCCAGTCACCCAAAAGGTCCGAGTCAGGGGCCAAAGTGCCAAGTGGC